GCAACCGATTGCTTTTTTTTTTTTAAGTTGAAAAAAGTATCGAATGAAGTACCCAATTGGTATCGGTATCGTGTTCAGGGTACTGGTATCGGTACTGGTATCGAAAATTTTTAAACGATACCCAGCCCTAGATTTAACGTTATATTTAGCATATGTTCACATTGCAAACAAGCGTCCACAAATGGCTCACCTTGTGGTTGCCCTGCGGGTCCAACTTGAATTGAATACAGACTGATACAGACTACTGATAGACTAAGTATTTGATCTCCTTCGACTAATGTTTAAGTAACTGTTTGCGCCTTCCATTCCTTCTCATTCGTTTTGTCTTTTCCCTCGTCGACGTCGTCTAAACCATCCATCCATCCAAGGCAGTTTACCCTTTTTGAAACAAAACACCTCTTTCCTATTGGCCATTTCCCCCGCGCAAATGTATTACTGTAAATTGATAAACAGTACATAACTACTGTAAAAAATAGCCGTTATTTTCCCACAATGCTTGGCGGTTAGCAGTAATGTACTGCATTTAATCATTACAGTATATCAATGCACTTATTGCTGTATAATACTGTTACAGTTACGTAAAACCGTTACAGTGTAGAGCAGCATTTTCCTGGGGACATTCAGAGAGTTGAGGTTCTCTTGCAGGGTGTTTTGTGGAAGCCGACTTACAACAATACCAGTTGAAAGTTTCTTTCTTTTACTTTTTATTATTATTCTTATTCTATCTGTTATTGAAAGATTTAACCGTACACTAAAAACTAAAATGTGGAGCTATTGTTCGGCTAAAGCCCTATTCGCACGGGATTAGTATTACCTGGGGACCTCTAGTAATGGGTGCAAATTCAGGAGGCTCATCTAGGTATCATCAGAAGAGCGAAATCTTGAAAGATGATTAGATGGATTACATGCATGGCAGCATGCGGTAAGGAACATTTTTCACGAAACGCAGACTCACTGTCTAAAGATATAGTTACTCTAGATGGCATTAACTTGGCCTCTAGCACCACTGTCAGGAATCTTGGAGTTATCTTTGATCAGGATTTGTCATTTAACTCCCACATGAAGCAGACCTCTAGGACTGCCTTCTTTCATTTACGTAATATTACAAAAATTAGACACATACTATCACAGACAGATGCAGAAAAACTAATCCATCCATTTGTTACTTCAAGGCTGGATTACTGCAACTCTTTATTATCAGGTTGCCCCAATAAGTCCATTAAAACGCTCCAATTAATTCAGAACGCTGCAGCACGAGTACTGACAGGAACTAGAAAAAGAGATCACATCTCTCCTGTACTAGCTTCTCTGCATTGGCTCCCTGTAAAATGTAGAATTGAATTTAAAATCCTCCTCCTCACCTATAAAGCTCTTCATGGTCAGGCCCCTTCATATCTTAAAGAGCTCATAGTACCCTATTACCCCACTAGAACACTACGTTCTCTGAATGCTGGGCTACTTGTGGTTCCTATAGTCTCTAAAAGTAGAACAGGAGCCAGAGCCTTCAGTTACCAAGCTCCTCTCCTGTGGAACCAGCTTCCTTTTGTGGTTCGGGAGGCAGACACCCTCACCACATTCAAGAGTAGGCTTAAGACATTCCTCTTTGATAAAGCTTATAGTTAGGGCTGGATCAGGTGAGTCCTGAACCATCCCTTAGTTATGCTGCTATAGGCCTAGACTATCGGGGGAATTCCCATGATGCACTGAGCTCCTCCCTTCCTCTCTCTTTCTGCACTCATTCATGTTCCATTAATGCATGTTACTAACTTCACTTCTTCCCCGGAGTTCTTGTGCTTTCTCGTCTCGCAGGTTCTCATCGATCCTGGTGGAGCCTCCTGCCATGGTCCTGCTAGATTGCCATTGCCAATACTGTTGTTGCTATGCACCTGTCTGTCTGTCTCTCTCTCTCTCTCTCTCTCTCTCACCCCAACTGGTCGAGACAGACGACCACCCACCTAGAGCCGGAGGATCTGTCCTAGGTTTCTGCCTTTTAACAGGCAGTTTTTCCTTGCCCTTGTCGCCAAGTGCTTGCTCATGGTGGTACTGTTGGGTCTCTGTAATTAATGTTTTAAAGAGTTCGGTCTAGACCTGCTCTATTTAAAAAGTGTCCTGAGATAACTTCTGTTATGAATTGGCGCTATACAAATAAAATTGAATTGAATTGAATTGAATTGAGTCTCATAACAAATAAAGAACTAAAAAAATTTTAAACCAAAATGTGGTAAAGTTTGAGGGAACTACTCGCACTCGAACAACACTTACCTTACTGCTTCATGCAAGATGTGATTGGTTGTAAGTTATCCTACTAGATAAACAGATAATTAACAGTATATTGATCGATTAATGAAAAGATAGGGAGCACTATCATAAAATCATTTTTACCTTTAGAATATTTTCATTTGTGTTTTAAAAGTGATTGTTGGTTATTAAACAAAATAATTTTTCGCTCATTATCTTCCAGATTCAATACAGGAAATTCCACAGAGGAATATCCAAGCAGACACAGTTTATAAGCGGTGCGTCTGACCCTGTTCTGAACCAGCTTCTGGATAAACTCCTTGAGCGTCACATTATAAATGATGAGGAAATGCAGTCAGCCACAACAAAGGTCAAAGCAGAAAAAGCTCAATACTTGATCGACACGGGACCTGAAGCCAGCTCAGTCCTGATCGCTGCTCTCTGTGAGGTGGATCCATGCCTTTCCAGAAAGCTGAACTTGAACTGAAATGGAAGCAAGAAATTGTGTGATGATGAATCTCATTAACAGCTCGCTGGTCTCACATTACTGGTTGTAATCTTTAAATTAACATTTTGTTGTGTTTTGTTTTGTGAGTTATTCTGCTGTGATCTTTAAATGGGAAATGTTGTTGTGTTTTTAATAAGTGGACTTTGACTCTGGAAGTCTCACACTTTGATGGAAAGAACTTGGACTGCAACTAAAGATACTGAGAGAGATACTGACGATAATGAAACACACAGACAGAAGCTCATTTGACCAAGGCAATTGGTCTAATTAAAAGTGTGGTCAAAGACCTTTTAAAACCAAGTTCTTGGTTAAATGTAAAGCCTCAAATAAGATGGAGCAAATTGTTCCCTCCTTTGTTGCCCCAAAGATATTCAATTCATTAACTTCTTTGTACGTTGGGTTTAATAAATGGGTTTAGTATTTCATACAGAAATTGCCTGGGGCTACTCCCCTTTCCCCTGTACCACTCCTACATGAGGGCAGGTAGTCATGGTTCAGGTTGGCCCCAGTGACAGTTAATTGTCAGCTTATTTGCTTTGTTTCTTGTTATATCAAGCTACTGGGGCTGTACAAAATATACTTTGCTTTCAAATTAAATGTTGTTTACTTTTTAAATACACTGGATCTCTTTGTTTGAATTGATATACCTGGAGACTCAAGTAAAGTCTGCTCCAAGTTTGTGTGAGGATGGCAGTGAGAACGAAAAAGTTACAGTCAGAACTCCACTGGAAATTGTAGTGGGAAAATGCATTTAGGGATAAGGTTCTGCGAACATGAAGCAAACTATATTATGTTGTGCTATTTCATGTTTAATTTTACGGGTTTACAGTATAATATTTTATGTTCATGTATGTTCATCGTTATGTATTCACATTCTGGTTGTCTCACACTAGTTAGGAGAGTGTTATTCATTGTGCCATAAGCACATTCCAAAGACCAAGGCTGTCTCCTGGAGAGTAGGACATCAGATGTGTAATGACTACTGTTTATCAGACATTAGATGTCACCAATAGACACCCTTTGGGAAAGAGGAATATAATGGAGTGATTTTCTTTGTTCTAGTCAGTTGATTCTCAAGACAACTTGGTTTGCTTGTATCCCATGTTGATGCAAATAAAATCTGCAGGTGGAGTGAAACAGTCAATTCACTTTGCTTTCTGTGAGTCTGTGTCACCATTCTGGGTTCCTTCAGTGGGAGTTTGTGGTCTCTCACTACAGTCAGATAGATAAAAGTTTATGTCAGATAGACATCGATTGAGGTGCATTGAGACGGAAAATTAAACCACAACAAAATCCTGTTAATTTGAACCATAGTAGTTAACCGACCTGTAGCCAGACAGCAGTCAGCCCAACTCGGTTGTATTTAGTCTTTTCTTCCGTTTATCAAATACAAACACTGGACCACAGTGTGATAGGGGAGAGTCCTGTCCCGCCCACTGAAACCTAGTGAATCTACTTTGTTGCCCATCGTCCTTTTCTCGCTAACGTGACTCTGGTAACCCGAAGATGTAGAAGATCAGGCAAAGCACATCGCATTTCTCTGTTGTTGGCTGCAAGAACCAACACTTCTACTCTCATTATCTAAAGTGGAGGCCCAGAAGATTCATTTTATTTTTGATGGAAATATCTGGAAAACTATTATCAACAAGTGCCAGTACAAAGCTAAGAGATAACAGGAACTGATCTGCTGTTGACTGCACAGACCAGCACAAAGTCTGGTGTCCCCCAAAATCTGAGGAAGACGAGACCCACTGTTTCCTCTTTATTTTCAGTGGAAATGTCCTCTGTGTGTTTATGCTTTTTACTACTTAAAACTTGGAAGCTTTACTAGAACTATGGCTATACAGGTCAGAGGTCAGAGCTGTAGATGAAGGTTAAAGACCTGTACTCTAAGTCTTACAGAAATCATTTAACACTAATTATCTTTCAGAGGTTTGATTGAGTCCATTGGACAGTAAAACCTTAATAACAAAGGTCGTCAGTGTTGTAGATACAGGACAGACGACAATGTGGTAGATACAGGGCAGCGGTCAGTACTGTATACACAGGGCAGAGGTCAGTGCTGTAGATACAGGGCAAAGGTCAGTGCTGTAGATATGGCACATACAATAATAACAATAACGATAGTATTAATATTAACTTGACACTAATTGTGTGATTGCTTGCAGCAGTTTTTGTTTTATTCAGTCATTTATTTTAAATTTAAGGAATAAATTTAGGGAAGATTAGTGAAGGAAAAACACAACAGTCTGTGTAAAATGATTTGACAGTATTTATTGTTTATTCCCATATAAAAAAAGATAAAATTGAAGTAACCCTTCTTTTTCTACAGTGATTTTTATTTAATTTTTCAGTAACAGGTTGTATGTGTGTGTGTGTGAGTGAGTGAGTGAGTGAGTGAGTGAGTGAGTGAGAGAGAGAGAGAGAGAGAGAGAGAGAGAGAGAGAGAGAGAGAGAGAGAGAGAGAGAGAGAGGACTAGAACTACATTCATTCATACAATAATGATCCTGCCACTGGGTGGAGGGAGAGAGATAGAGAGAGTTATGAAAATTGATAAGAAAAGAGAGAGAGCTGACACACACACACACACACACATTTCTTTCCTAGGTAGAACTAGCAGTCGCTCCACATCTGGAGTTTTTTTTCTACAAACCACCACAGTTAAAGAGAAAAGAAAAGATAATTTATAACAAGGATTTTCATCAGGCTGCAAATTAAACATCTATGTTACAGTGATCATTGCTTCTCAAAATTAAAATAAGAAAATAAACTTTCGTACTGGAACCTTTGAACAGCAGGATGGACAGTACCTGGGGAAGGGGGCTTTTATTCTTTTAAATGTTATCTCTTCCTGCCTGCACATATTTCTTCCATCTGCTGTATACATACATATATATTTATATATTTTAAAAGACTAAATAAAAAAACAGCTTTTCCAACACTTCTTCAGTCCAAAACACATGGTTGTTTTTTTTTGTTTTTACAGTAATATAAACCAGTTCTCAGCTTGTAGACAGATTCTTTTCTTTTTTATAGCACATTTGTTAAATCAGTAGTACAAGTTTGTCTCTGTGTTCTACAGTTGAGCTACAACAGTGAAACATAAGGTACAAGATTTACATTTCACACCATCAGCATCGCCATCATCATCATCATCATTCTGGTGGAGAAGGATGGGGTTTTGTAAAGATGGCTGCCCCTCTGTTTGACATCAGTCACTAAGAGTTAAACAGTGTTTAGAGATCGAACTGTTACTTCAGTTTTGCTCTTTATTTATGTGAGAAAAAGACATTTGATTTAAGTTCCTGAAGTCCTGAAAGATGATTTTGTCTTTTATTTTTAAAATCTGTTTTAATGATCATTAGATAAAGAAATGTTTCCTTCAGGACTTCTTCGGCTTCTGTTTCTCATGACCAGTAAATATGATAAAAATACTGAGCAGAAATTAGTCAGATTGTACAGAAGAAATGTCGACTTTATCTCATAATTTTAGTTTTTGTATCTTAAACAGGAGATCTATCATAACTGCAAGGAAATATCTTCTCTCTTTACAAGATACCAACACTTTCTTCAGTTTTACTTTCTGAACTGATATTTGATATTTATGAACACTGCTGAGCAATCTGGGACAGGATACCATAGCCAAACAGGAGGCAGCCATCTTTACACACCTGGTTTGTTCAGGATGAGTAGGGAGGGCATGTCCTGCAGTGACTCTGGTCCCTCCCCCACTCATCCCGGGGGGAGAAACAGCAGAAATTTGTTCACAATGACCCCTTGACAACATGCCTGGGAAACCCTTTACAGCTCCTCTGGCCAATCAAAGCCCTGAATCAGATTTCACGTGTCCGTTTGGATTGAAACTAAACGTTCATTATGTTCACCACTTTATTTAATTCCTGATTTCACCAACAACTGAAACAAACTGAGAGTCTCCCACCTCTTCAAAAGTGGAACGAGAGGGTCTTTATGGAGAATAAACTCTTTGTATTAGCTTTGTAACACTGATATCAAGTCTGTGAGCTTTTAACAAATGCATCAAACAAAAATAACCATTTTCTCTTCATGATCTATTGTTAGAAGGTTCATGATTACCAATAAAGGCCTTTTCACCAGTTTTATTATTCTGTCTGCGATGAGGATGATTATGTGGTGCTTTCACTCCAAGGAGAGTTTCACCAGCTGATAAAGGCGTCTCATTTCTTTAATCTCTGGATGAAAAATACAGACTTGGTATGCAAAGGCTTTAAGTGCTGTTCTCTTCTGGTTGGTGTCAAACAGAATATAAAGAGGCAGGAAGCTCTACAGCAGTAGCTATAAGGAAGAAGGTTTCACAAAGTCAAAGGGTTCATTGTGAGTATTATTACATGTGGTAGACACCACTTCACACAGGTTTCTGTTAATATATGTTAAACTGCCTGTCCTTCTGTCATTGACTAAGGCTCAAAGATGTTTAGATGTTAGAAGAAATCAACAAGTGGACATTTCTTGATATCTCCCGACAGGCACTTGACTGGCCGCAATAATGGAAGCATCACTCGCACAATAAGTGAAAACAAGCCTTTAAGTGGTGACTTTTAATTTGAAATATTGTGAACTCTGCTCGCCATGTCCTCCCACTCTTTAGCATCGAGGCTAGACAACTCCACTGTCACATCCTGGTCACAATCCAACAATAGCTTCATCGGACAGATACATCTGATCAATACCATCAGTCTGTCTTATCATCTCTGTACAACATTTATTAGCCAAAATGATACAATCACTGTCACTGTATCCGCCATCGTATTATTATTCTGAAACCCCAAATGTCTGAACCATTTGTCCAACAGTCACCAAACTCTATCGGCTATAACGTCCAGTGTAACGGTGAAGTTGAGCAGGGGACTCAGACGACGGCAGCTTTTCCTTTATAAAGTGGAAGCCCAGAAGTGCCGCCATGTTGACTTTGATCTGGCGTATAACATCCTCAACTCTGGACGTCCTTTCACACTCTGTGTGAACCCTTTCAGCTCGATAGTTTAGTCACCATGAAGTTACTACGGTTGCAGTTATTCTTCTCTATTCTAACACTGAGTTAAAACACAATATACTGTTGTTTGTTTTATTGACAGGAATTGAACATTTTTAAAGTTATTTTCTGCTTCAGTTTGAACGTCACATTATGAGGAGGAAATATCTTCTGTTTTGGCACTTGGGTTAGTTAAAACAATCACTTTAGCATTGTTAGTATTTCACACATTGGTCCCCCTTTTTCATTTTGGCCAGATCCTCCACTGGTTTCACTGTAGGGTGCTAACAATGCTAACAGCTTTTCTGATCTCTAAATGCTGAATGTAGAAACATTCGCCCCCACTGTGTTCCAGTTTAAAAACTTGATTTCAACGACAGCTCAGATGTTTGTTTAGGTTTTTGGTTACTAATCCGTGCATGTGAATATGAGCCTGTGTTTCTCTTCCTGAAACCTGAACGAAAATGTTGTCAGAGTCTTTCCACCGACACGACTACTGTCGCGTTCCTAGAGCTTGGTTTCTGCCCGTGTGGCTTTAATGAGGTAATATGTTACTGAAAACACCTGGAAACGCCTGGACCTGAGTCCATCTGTCAGGTGATTTTTTTTGTCTGCTTTCCGACATAAAACGGCAGGTCAGCGTCGTCTGAGAAGGTCATGTGTCACATCGAGATCACACCCGGATATGAGTTCATCAAACACATCTGGAATATTGTTTCAATGATTTAAGATCGTTCAAGAATCAAACGAGGACCAAGACAAGATTTACATCATCAAAGGTGTCACCATCCTTCAGTTTGAATCAGATATTCTGGATGTATTTCAATACAAATATACTCTGGTGTGATGTTTAGGAAAACTTTTACATTCACAGGAAGGACAGAAGGGAAGTGAAGAAGGAAGCTCCAGAAGATGAAGTCAAATAAAGGCACAAAGCTAAAGACAGCAGTAAAACAAAGGGAAGTGGAGGAAGAAGAAGAAGAGGAAGAAGAGTGAGCGAGATGAAGAGAGTAGAAATGAAACAAGACGAGGAGGAAAGAAAGGAGGGATTATTTGATGGAACTGGAAGACTGGAAGAGAGAAGCGGAAGTGAGAGGAAGAAAGTAGGCAAAAGGAGAGAAAAGGAGGCAAAAAATAGACGAGACATAAGGGTTTAGGAAAAGAAAGGTGACAAGGTGACAGAAAAGGAGGGTGAGGAGACGAGCAGGCGAGAAGAGGAAAGGAGGAGAGGAAAGGAGGAGAGGACATGACAAGGAAACGAGCAAAGAGGAGAAGCTTAGAAGAGACGACACAGAGAGAGGCGAGGAAAGAAGACGACAAGTGAAGGAGACAAAGGGTGAGGAGAGGAAAGGAGACAAGGACAGGAGGATGGAGTCCAGCTCAGTCCAGGTGCTTTTATGATATCGGCAGTTCAGTTCAGTCTAAAAAACACACAAAAACAACTTCAGTAACTATTTACAACGCAGAGGTTCGAGTCAGTTGTGACCTGGTAGCTTTTCTTCTTCAATCAGTTTGGAGATTTGATGTAAAAAAGAAAAAATTAACCTCTCTAATCGAAGAGTAAAACAGGAAATAAAAAGCTCACAATAAAATATTATGTGACTACAAGTCGTCAAAGCAACTAAAAAAAATATAGAAACAGAACTTTAACACGTAGAAAAGTCTCTGAGGTATTTCTGGTGTATTGAGGTGATCTGTGGTTCATGAGCAGTATTGTTTTGATGGATTTTTTTTTTTCAACCTTTTCCACTCGTTTTTTTTAGTCAGTGTCGTTCCTCTTTCGCACGCCGTCGTTCGCTTCACCGACTTCGTACAAAGACAGAGAGTTGCATGTGTTCAATGCACCGAAAGTCAAATGAACAATAAGAAGGAATATATACGGAAATATATTCATCTTTGAGTTTGAATCATCTTCATCGTCGTCAGCAGCAGCATCGTAGACATTCACTGTTACATGTATGGCATCACGGAAGGGTCAGAAACACAAAAACATACAAATACAAAACAATGAAAAAACAATGTTTCCAGTTCTTCTTGTTAGTGTGTGTTAAAGGACCAGTGCGTAGGATTTATATTACAGCAACACACTGGAGCTTTAACTGGATGAAGCCAGTTTCTGAAGTGGACTCTTGGTGGTCGGTTTCTGAGGCAACAGACCGACGCCCCAGTTTTGGTCCCGAAGGAAAGAAAAATGAAAAGGAGAATAAAAAGAGAGGTGAGGAGCTGACTGATGACCTTTGACCTTTACATGGATGAACTTGTGAGAGTTGTGATGAACCTGAGCAGGTTTTTTTTTTAAACTGATTCCTGCTGTGTCGCCGCTCAACCAGAGGGTGGCGGTGGCGGAATGTGAAAGTACTGAGGGGGTCAAAGGTCACAGGTCACTCACTTACCTCCAGATCACACAACCAGACTGAAAACAATCAGCACAAACAGTATGAAATTAAAAACCCAGAAAACATGTGTCACAACATGTGACTGTGTTCACATTGTACCACACACACCCACACACACACACACCCACACACACACACACACACACACACCCACACACACACCCACACACACCCACACACACACACCCACACACACACACACAGACCTGAATGCATAAACCGCTCTATGCATCGTGAGGTCTTGCACCTTGTTTGGGCACCTTTGCAAATTTACATATTCAGGACAGCCAATAGGCTTTGAGCACCCTCAGATAAGCCCCTCCCATTTGCTGTTGGTCCCGCCCCTTCCCGACCACGTGGAAACTAACGGCCGGCGTCGCATCAAATGCCCTCCCCCGACCCGTTCACCCCCTGTAGACCTGGTTACCTGAGAAGTTTTATTTCAGAGCCCCAACCGAAATGCTGCGGTCGAGAGTGGTCAGCCAATCAAATCTCTGCATGCAAGACGTTCACTTCCTGGTTCCTGAAAAGCAATCCCATCAGCCCTCTCTCAAGTCTTCAGCCTCAAATTATAACAGCTGAATAAAACAAAACAAAAAAAACACAGAGAGAGAGAAAGAAAACCTTCAGCTTTAACACTGTCCAATCTTTCTGGGTTTTCTTTCCTTCTGACCTCACTTCCTGTTTCCTGTCGTTTTGGATACAACCCGTTGGATCCGAAGGTTTTGACGTGTGTGAATTAGTAGCGCGAGGTCGCCGGAGGAACATAGAAAAGAAAGAGAGTCCAAGAAAAGGTAGAAAAACAAATGTTTGCTATCGGTGTTTGTTGTGTAACAGTCATCGTGTTCCTACCAGAGTTTTGCAGCATTGTAGTAAAAAAAACAACATCCCAACGGTGGGCGGTTGCTAGGAGACGCAAGCCGCCCGATAGGTAGATAAGTCCAGATGAGGAGGAGGAGACAGCAGAGGGAAGAGTGCACCAGGAAAATGGTCAAAGCAATGAAAGATGTCGCTGAGGTACCTGGAGATAGAAGAGCATTCACTGAGTCGGGACCTGAATGCCTTTCAGTGTTGGATTTACCTGCGTATGTGCACACACACAAACACACACACTTTTAAAAAAAAAAAAAAAAAAAAACATGAATGACTCAAGACTGAGAGGAAAACTTGAGAAAAACGAGGACAAGTGCTGGTAATATTTGTCCAAAAAGGACGAAGAGAGAATCAAATAGCAGCTGCTTTCACCCCGTATTTCTGGTTTAGGTCGAAAAATTCCACTGAGAAAACATGAGTGAGTGTGTGTGTGTGTGTGTGTGTGTGTGTGTGTGTGTGTGTGTGTGTGTGTGTGTGTGTGTGTGTGTGTGTGTGTGTGTTTGTGTTCAGTGTCATTCGGTCGTTTTCACAAGAAGTTGAACCGAAAATCACGGTATCGTCAGGCATCCAAAGCAAGTTTGTTGTTTTTGTTTTTTTAAGTTTCTCCTCATATACTGGACTCTTTGGGCGGCAGGTCCACGTTGGTTACCATGGGAACAGGTGTGTGGTGGTCGGAGGTAGGCGGGGTGATGGTGGCGGTGAGGCGGCGGACCTGGGAGATCCTCTCCTCCACGCACCCGGCCGACAGTCGAGCCTCGGCGTCATGATCCCAGCACTCCTCAACCGTCTCACAGATCTGAGCCAGGCCCTGCAGACAGCAGAGTCAAATAATCAGTCTAATTATTATTCATTACTAAATGATTAGTATCTTTTCATTCTGTATTGTTTGTATTTGAAACATGGAGGAGCACATTTGTTTTCTAGAGACGACAAACGCAATATGAGATAATATTATGAGACTGCAAAATAAAAGCACAACTATTACTAACTACTTTAAATCTCAAAAATTACTGTCTTCATCAGTTAATAGATTGAACTATGAAATGTGAGTAAATATTGTTGTTGAATATATTATCAATGCTAATTATGCAATTGTCCAACAAATACAAGTTAACATCTGTCAGTTTCTAAATGCCGGGACCCAGACTGTACATGCTGTTCTCACAGTGGGGAAATACAGGCTAGTAACCTGGTTTGTACAGTCCAGCATGGACCTGGCCCTGGAGAACCTTCAAGTCAAAGATATCCATCAGGGTGTCTGAGGTAGGGCTGCTCAATTATGGAAAAAATCATAATCACGATTATTTGGGTCAAAATTGAAATCACGATTATTCAAACGATTATTTATTTAAACTTCAGAAACATGCTGCATTTATTGGACATTTGTCAAAAACACTTTGCAAGGAAGTCCTCAGTTACACTTTCCTTTCCCCATAAACATTTGTAAGTCTCCGCGTTACCTGTCCAAACGAAAACAACGTGACAGGAGAAGACTGCAACTAGTGTCGCGACCATCAGCGCAAGTATAAATAGTTACGGTGCTCCCGTGACTTCACATTGTCGCACGACAGGTCGCGAGTATACCGAGCGCATGACTCGTGCTGTGCATGCTGCGGGGGAGGGACGGAAATACGCATGCATAAAATACGCAGACTGTGGCTATATCAGCCCCTGAATTGGGAAAGAGCTTTTTTCTATACAACGTTGCACAACAGAAAATGAAAAAAAAAAAAAAACGTTTCCCCCCAATTTTATTAGTTATTAGATCGCTTCGCTAAAATTTCGATTAATTGAGCAGCCTTAGTCTGAGGGACACCTATCAATGTGGTTCAGGTGGGTTTCATCCTTTATGTTCAGGTTACCATACCGAGCAATCACAGAAGAAGTGAGAGCAGAATTAATAACGGACATCATTAAAAGCATTTATCTTCCTGAGGAAGCACAAACTCACGCTGTGTTTGAGCCAGAGGTCCTTGAAGGTTGGTCTCAACTTCTTGTGTACGACGACTTCCTGCAGGTCCTCCAGTGATGGATGCTGACCGACCTCCTCCTCAAATGGCAGCAAGTACTCATCCACCGGACCTGGGACACACACACACACAGTCAGGTATCAAGAGCAGTTTCTGTCTTAAATTAAATCTGAAATCACTGTTTACATGTGACGGCCACTAGAGGCTCCAGCAGTGAGTCTCCATATTAAACTGCACAAGTAAACTTTTGGTCTCTAGATCTAATTTCCTCGTTCATGACAACTCAACCCTTTAAATTACATTAAGGCTTAAAGTTATGTAAATTAAGGACGTGGTCTCTTTGAATGACAGGTGGGTGTTGTCAGTAACCAGGGTTCATTCAGCTCCACCTCTTTGACCATTTAGCCGGCAAACGGCAGAGTCAGGACTGCCAAAAGAGCTGACCACACTGAGCTGCACAACTCTACGGGGGACGTCACAGAGACAGTCGATGGTGGCGGCAGAACTGTGGTCCAGCATGAGGTTGGGATGAGTCCATGTTAGAGACATGTTAGAGTCAGCTGAGCAGGAAGCATCTATATGGTTCTGTATTTAAACTTTTTCCTTGCCCTTGTCTCCAAGGTCTTGCTCATGGTGGTACTGTTGGGTCTCTGTAAATGTTATAAGGAGTTCGGTCTAGACATGCTCTATTTGAAAAGTGTCCTGAGATAACTTCTGTTATGAATCGGATCTACACAAACAGAACTGAGTAGAACTGGTGTTACCATCAACAGCCTTGCAGCGGGACACCAGCTCCCACAGCACCAGGCCCACGGCGTACATGTCGATTCGGAGGAAGGCGTCTCGCTGGAAGTTGATGGCTCCTTCTAAAACCTCTGGAGCCATGTAACGCCTGGTCCCTACCTGCACACACACAGGACACAGCGCTCAGGGTTTAACTGACACTCTCCTCCCCAGCCGCCTTCAGTCGGCGCAGCTCACCTGTCCGTGCGTCTCTCCGGGCGGTTTCCCCGGCTCAAAGCAAACAGCGAGGCCAAAGTCACCGATCACCGCTGTGAGGTCGGTGCGCAACATGATGTTCTTGCTCTTAAAATCCCTGAGAGACACAGAGACAGTCAGGGACGTCACACACAAATTACACTGTAAAACAAAATCTGATTTTTGGAAATAAGTGGAAATAAATGTGAAAAATCTGTAAATGTTATTTAAAGGAAATGTCTATCAAACTGTTAATAAGTTTATAAACTGATATAAAATCAGTGACATTAACAGTAAAAAGTATTAGTTGTGTAACTTTAATGTATTAGTTAGTTAACTGACAGATATGTTGTATAATGATGGAAGTTGAATAAATGTTGTTTATCAGTGTATAAGCATTGGTAAACTGTCCAAATACAGTTGTTATCAGTGTAAACAGCAATAATTACTGTAATCTCACAGATAATGACTTTTTATTACACTATAACTTTTAACATTCACATTAAAATAATAACAATGATTATTGTATTATAGCAGAGTTCACCTGGATTTATAGATCATTGTTTACACTGTAAATATCTTTAATTATTCATTTCCCAGAATTCTGTCCACGGGGGGGCATACTGCTTATTAACTTAATAAATTAATTAATAGTAAGCACATTCAGAAAAGTTGTACGGATGGGGATGGAAACAAGACTGTCTGATACACTTCCACCTGTAGGTGGCGCAGGTGAAGCTCTGTGACAGACCTGTGAGCGATGGCCGGTTTGGGTCCCTCTCCTTTCTGTCGGGGGATGTCTTCGTGAAGGTAAGCCAGGCCGCACGCCATCGACTCGGCGATGTGACACAGCTCGGACCAGCTGACGATGTTACCCTTCAGGAAGTCTGACAGAGAGCCCTGCGCACGCACACACACACACACACACACACACACACACACACACACACACACACACACACAGTACGACACACACACACACACAC